CCCCCCCCCCCCCCCCCCCCCCTTTTATTTATTTCACTCCTAAAATCTCTAAAATTCAACCAGGCATCAGGCAGTTTAGGCTTAAATCTCTGCTTTTAGGAGCAGGTTATTTCCCTTAGAAATACAGGTGAGTGACCTGGCTGTGAGCAAAGTATGGATGTAGCAACCACTACTACTGCTCATTACTCCTGAGTAATTCTAACTCAGCCCCTGAGGATGACTCAGTTTATGATTTATTCTGTTTGTTTTCCTCTTGCCTATGTCAGATTGTGCAATGAATTGTTACTCACAGAGCCCGGGTGTGCTGTGGGTCCTCAAAACCTGTCTGGCCCCAGGTCTGATGGGATATTCCCATATATCCAGATATTCCCAGCAGGATGGCAGCCCCGGGGTGGTTGATGGCCACGTCAGTGTCTGCTCTGCAGAGGAGAGAGTCCCCAGGCTCCCTTCCTGCTGGAATGGCTGCCCAGCCTGGGAGAAATCAAACCCTTCCCTTGGGGATGTGGAGGCCCTGGAATGGATTTCCCAGAGAAGCTGTGGCTGCTCCATCCCTGGAAGTGTCCAAGGCCAGGTTGGACAGGGTTTGGAGCAGCTTGGGATAGAGGAAGGTGTCCCTGCCCATGGCAGAGGATGGAACAAGTTGGGCTTTAAGGTCCCTCCTACCAAACCATCCAAGAATTCCATGATTCCAAGGGATGGAGAGCTGCTTTCCCTCCGAGCCCCCCACAGCCCTGCCAGAGCTGACCTTCCAGCTACACCCCAAATTCCTCAGGCTGCAGCTGGTTCCCCCTCAGATCTTACGGCTCTTACTCACCCCTGTTTGTCCCTTTCCCTCAGCTGAAGATCCCCACACGGACAATCCCTGTTTTTGTTTGTCATCCTTCGAGCACCATGACACTGCTGAACACCCCAGGAATAAAGGAGAACAGAGAGGGAAGGGTTTTTCCTTAAATACAGGCGTTTACTCATGTGTGTGTCTTGTGGTGTGAGGGTGCATGGACCAACCATCCCAAAGGTCACAGCAACATCCCCCAAATACTCCCAGCAGCGCAGGCTGGACAGGGCTTGGAGCATCCTGGGGTAGGAGAAGGTTCCCTGCTCATGCCAGGAGGTGGAACTGGATGAGCTGTAAGGTCTCTTCAACCCACAGCATTCCAGGATTCCCTGATTCTGTGAGATGTCCATCCACAGCTGAGCCCCATCCTGGGCTTTCTCCTCCTTCTGGCTCAGCTCTGGGAGCAGCACAAGGAAAAGCAGGTGCAGGTCCTGATCCACTTTCCAGTGGGAGCTGTGCAGAAGAAACGTCCCAACATATCCTTAACACAGAGCCATCCTTCCTCCAAAATGTTTAATTACCAACCCTTGCTCGTATTACCCTCCTGGAATGAGTTATGCAGCATCCCTCAATGAATAAGGAAATAAAAGGGAAAATAAATAAATCAATGTTTTAACAGCAAAATCAAAAGAATCCATGAAAATCACTAGCCTTTCTCCAGACTTTATTGTTTGCACAAGTTTGACCAGCAACAAATAACCGCGTTCACACCAACGTTACTCCCTTAAAACCCCTGGGGACAAACACGGGGATCATTCCCACTGCATCCATCCTCTGGCTCCCGGTTCCTGGGGGATGCTCCCAGCCCTGCAGGTCTCACATCCCTGCCAATTCCAGGTGTGGGCCCGGATTCCAGCAGCTCCCTCTGGGAGCGTTGTCACAGAGCTGTCACCCCCTGCCAGCCTGACCCTTTGCACTCTCCAGCTAATTCCGGCGCCCTCCAGTTTCCCGCAGGATTCCGGCAGCACGGGGACCCCTCCAGCTCTTCCCTGCCGGGCTTGGAGTCAAGGAGGGAGAGGAGGAGTGGATTCTGCATATTCAGCACTTGACCCTGCCTCGTCCCAGGCAGAAATTCCAACGGGACCTCTCTAGCAGCGCTGCCGACAGCTCCCCTGGGCATTCCTTGCCATTGTGGCTCCTCTCCTCTCCCTCAGGCGATGCGTGTTTGTAGTTACCAAATGCAAATCACATTTCCCACCCTCCTGGCTGGAGTTCTCACTCCACAAGATCCTTCCCGGGTTTTTTTTCCTCTCACCAGCTGGTTTTGCAATGCAGGCGGAGTTCGCAGCCCCTGCCGGTGTCACCTCCCTGTGATCTGGGATGCGCTGGGAGGTGGATGGAGGGAGGGCATTGAAGCAATCCTAATTTAGTACCTGCGGCCCTCCGGACTCAGAAACTGCGGCTGTTTTGCAGCCTGGCAGCTGAAACTCCTTCTTCTGAGGAATGCCGGGCTCTGACCCTAATTGCATTTTAAAAGGAAAACTCGAGATAGCTTTTGGCCTTGGGCAGCTGCGGTTTTCCAGGCGCTCCTGGAAGGGAGATGGCAGCAGGCAGAGCCAGTCGATGGCACATCAACAACTGATAACGAGAGTTAACTCCCTCCTGGCACTCCCCGAGCGCAACTTCCAGCCCGGGCATCCTCTCCAGCCACCTCTGATTCCTCCCCTGCCCTCACAGAAACCTGGAGCACATTAAGGCGAGGGGATGTTTTACGAGAAAAACTCGTGAATTGATTCCGTGACCCAGCAGAGACCATTAAAAATGATGGAATGGATATGGAAATGAGTAATCGTCCAGCTGGGCTCGGGCTGAGCGCGGCCAGCTCCAGTCAATGGGAACCGAAAATAAAGCGGAGCTGCTGGAGCCTCCAGGCAATGCTGGAGCTGCAGGAATCCACCCGAGGATGCCCATCCCATTTACCTGTCCTCCTGATGCTGTCGAGTCTCTCCAGCACCTGTTTGGACTCATCCTTTCCCTCCAAAGGCTGCTGCAGCAGAGATCTCATCCCATCCAAGCTCTTGGCCAGATTCCCTGCTAAAGGAAATGTGGGAGACCCCATCCCTGGCTCCCAACCCCTTGCTGTTCACACCCTTGGCTCAGCCAGCCCACATTCCCAAGGATCAGAAAATAACCCTGGACTGCCACAGTTTCCAGCACCAGCCCTGAATCCCAGGCAGCCAGAGACCTGAGGAACCAGGGGATAAAACAGCAGCAGAGGAAGGCAGGGATCTGTAATTAAAGGCAAATCTGGGCCAGTGAGAAGCAGAAAGAGTTGAAATTGAGCTGGTCCTCAGATGTGTGAAAGGAAAAGTGTGGACATGGGGCTTTATGGACAGAAGGTTCTCCTTACAGCCTCTTTCTCCAGGACCTGGAGGAAAGATTGTGCTAGAAAACAAGGCACAGAGAGTAAAAACATTTATTTAAAAACACACACCAGAATCCCCCTTACAGGAAGTACAGAAATTAAAGGTTATTTCTTGCTTCCCCAAGGCTCTGGAGCTGTGTCCCCTCTCCAGGCCAGAATTCCAACACACCTGGGTGGAAGGAATGGGCTGAAGTCCTCAGTGGGCCAGGAGGAGGGGCAGGAGGGACAAGCCATGAGAATTTCAGTATTGAATGGGCTCCCACCCCTGGCATGGGGACAGAAGGTGCCATGGCTGGGTTGTGAACACACGGTCAGGGGTGGCTTTGCCAGGCTGCCCAGTTTTGGCAGCCCCCAGCAGCTCTCCTGTCCCTGGTGTCTCTGCCATCAACGAGAGCAGCAGCATCTCCATGCAAATGGTCTCCACTGGGATGCTGCCAAGGGCCCTGGAGCAGTGTTTTCCCCTGAGGAGGAGCATGCTGGATGAGCCCACAGTAGAATCCTGTTCCCAAAGGAGCTGCCTGTGACCCCTCACCCGAAGCAGCAGCGTTTCATCCCTGCAGCCTTCTCCCAGTGGATAACTCTACCCCTTCCATCCATCACTCCCGGCTTTCAGGCTGCTGTCAGAATCCTCCTGCAAAGGGACAATGGCAGCCCAGGGTCCCCATTCTCCCTGGAGAAAGGGGCCTGTGGAATCATCAAAGGCTTTTCCCAGATGGAGACAAAGGGCTGGCCACTGACCAGCTGCAGGAGGGCAGCTCTTTGTCCTGCCATGAGGTCTGGGTTGGAAAGGACTTCCCAAAATCTCTCAGTCTGAGGCTCTCCATGAGAGACCAGGCTTCCTGCACAGCCTCCTCCTTGCTGGGGGCATCCCTTGGGATGGGCTCCTGGTGTCCAGCCATGCCTGGTGGGTGCCAGCACGGCTTCTCCTCCTTATTTGCAGACGTGTCTGTGCAGGCTGCGCCGGCAGCGCCTGCACACCACGGAGCAGCACCAGCGGTAGCGGCAGTGGCAGCGCTCCTGCACCTCCTCCGTGTAGGTGTTGTAGCCACGGCCACAGCACAGCAGGTCACAGCTGTCACTGCCCGCAGAGCTCCTGTTGCACGGCCTGTGGAGAGATGGGGGAGCTGGGGACCCGCCCTCCCAGGCCCTGGCCTCTCCCGGAGGTCAGAGATGATCACGATGCTCAGAGCAGGGTCATGGAATCATGGAACAGCTGGGTCGGAAGGGACCTTAAAGATCATCCTGTGCCACTCCCTGCCGGGGGCAGGGACACCTTCCACAGGTCCAGGCTGCTTCAAACCCCATCCAGCCAGGCCTTAAACACTTCCAGGGATGTGTCCATTCCACAACTTCTCTGGGCACCCTGTGCCGGGCCCTCCCCACCCTCCCAGGGAAGAATTCCTTCCCAATATCCCATCTAGCCCCATTAGTGGGAAGCCATTCCCCCTTGTCCTGTCCCATCCCTTGTCCCAAGTCCCTCTCCAGCTCTCCTGGAGCCCCTTCAGGCACTGGAGGGGGCTCTGAGATCTCCCTGGAGCCTCCTTTTCTCCAGGTGAGCACCCCCAGCTCTCCCAGCCTGGCCCAGAGCAGAGAGGCTCCAGCCCTCAGAGCAGCTCTGTGGCCAGACATGGCCTTGTTGAACAATGCCTGTCTCATGCTGGGGGCCTGACCTGGGTGCAGAGCAGGTGGGGTCTCACAAGACAGGGATTCAGGGATCTGCTGCAAGCTCACCCCAGCCCATCCACATCAGCTTCCCAGGACACTGAAACCCAGCGGTACAGGCACTCCTGGAATCAGAGGATGAGCTCTTCCTACCTGTCCTGTGTCCCCAGAGAACCCAGCTGGGGGTTTGGGGTGCAGTAGTCAGGAGAGTTGATGAGATAAACCAGATCCATCTCTGTCACTGGCCTGGCATCCTCTTCCTTGGGGATCAGCTGCTTCCTGGGCCCCACGAGCCGATGGGTCACCTTGAGGGCTGCCAGGTACCTGGATTTGAGGTCAGAGGCGATTTCACCCAGGTCTGGCAGCCCTTTCCAGCAGGTCTTCACTGAGCAGGAGCCTGAAACCCCGTGGCATTTACACCTGGTATCCAGGGAGTCACTGAGCACCTGCAGAGCACAGGGAAACAGCTGAGTTTGCTCTCTCCTGGTACCACCCCAGGGACTGACTCCCAAGGGCACCCGTGGGATGTCTCAGGGGAGCTCAGAGCTGGATATAATGTGGAAATCAGGGGCTCAGCCCTGCTTCAATCCCTTCTGATAAGAACCTGATCCTTGGGGACCTTCCCAGGGGAGCTGGCAGAGGGGCTGGAGGCTTCCCAAGCCTCACTTGGAGAACAGGAGTGGATGGAAACTGGAAGACTGGATGGGCTGGGGAGCCCAGCCAGAGTGGGGCAGGACAAGCCCTGTTTCCAGTGAGAAGGGTGGAAAGAAGCACGGGGAGTAGTGGTGTGAAATATCAGATAACTGGGAGCGCTGGTGTGAGGTGTCAGAAGTGCTGGTTGTGGAAGGGGTATGGGATGGCTGGGGGCGGGCAGCGGTGTGTGTGTGTGTGTGTGTGTGGTGCTCACACACTTTTTAACCATTTTGTTGCCTCCTCATGTTCAGGACATCCCAAAAACCTGGCTGGCGCCTGCTGCCTTAAATGAGGGACCTGTGCCTCTGCTGCGAGGGGTGCAGGGCTCCGTCTATCCCAGGGGGCTCAGACCCACTGTGTGCCCCACTGCAGAGTCCCAGCGGGCTCACACAGCCCATCCCAGACCTCAGCAGCCCCGGTGGGCTCCGCATCCCCCATGCCAGCCTGCAGAGCCCGGGGGTCCCGCACGCACCGCCCGTCCCACGGCTCCGTTGTGCCGGT